TAACTTCAACTTACTTTTATGTAGGCAAACTTAACTCATTTTTGTCCATTTTACTGTTTGTTAACATAACATCCCTTTCCTACATACTCTTTTCTTGACCCAAATGAAATACTAATGTAAGGTCAAGATGAGAGAGAAATGACTGAGATGAATGTCTTTACTAAAATAACCAATAAATTTTGTCAAACTAAAAAAAAAAAAAAAATCCTTACTGTTTTGTACTTGCTCATGTGTAAATTTGACTCCCTTCTGACATTGTAGCTGTCTTGTCAGCTACAGTTTGAACAAGTAAAGCCTTATTTCACTGCATGAAACTGTGTGCACATAGAGGGACAAGTATCATAAATCCTAAATATTTATGTGTAGGATGACAGAGATGGAAATATGTATCTACTCATTCATATAGCTTATGATTACCTGAGATCATAGGTGATTTAGTTCAGCTGTGTTAGGTAAAATTACATTAAAATGAAGTTAAACATTTCTCCTAAAGTTTATAACTAGTAGTATAGGCATAACCAGGGCTAGCAGTTGGATAGCTTGTTGAATTTCTACTCTTGCTTCCTTCCTTATGTCAGAGGACCATTTACTGTGTCGGACAACAGTTTGTGTCTGTGTAGTACTTTATCATTTACAGTAATTTCCAAATTGTTGCATTCATTGAAATCATCCTCAAATGGGGATTGTTGGGCCTCATTCCTAAAAACTGTGATTCAATAGATCTGAGGTGGTGTCAGTGGATGTGTATTTATTTCTAGCCAATTCCTAAGTGTCAGTGGTGCTACTTACTTGAGAACAACTGGCGAACACTAATCATTTGTGTCAAGGCACATAAACTTGGGGGGTGCTATGTGTGCTCTTCCCCACCAGAAATAACACTTTTAAAGATGAAACCACTTATCCAGGGTCATAAGAAGTGCGCTCAGCTTCCAGACCATGACTTTTAGATGAAATCCAGCAGGCAACTACTCCGCATACGTATAAAGAATCTAATTGAGAATTCTGCCAAGGGAGATCAAATTATCCAATCTTAGAACACAGAGTTAGAACTCATTCAAATTTAATGAGTAAGGGCAAAAAGGAAGGATTGAACCTTGATTATTAGACATACCTGCAGGGCAGAGTGGAGGAAACCCCATCTCCTGGAGAGGGGCCAGCCCATAGGCAGGGTAGATGGATGCAGGAGATGCATCATGGAGTGACAGATGTTGCCACTCAGCCAAGCAGAGCATAGCATCAAGTCTCTGACACTCTGATTCTGAAAGGCAGGTTTTAAAGGGAACTGTGATTCCCTGTGATTCCTGGGGTGGGGTTCAGAAGCAGGACTCCATGCTGATAAGGCTGCGGGTAACTTATCAAGACAGATTGGCTAGACTTCAACTAATTATAGAAAGCAGCTACAGGAATACATTTTCCAAGATCAGGATACAAAATGGAGCTACAGGTTGTCAGTAGGTCTCATTATCATAGTTGAGCAGAACTAATACAAAGGGAGATTTCTTCAGTCTCAAAAGTGAGGAGCTTTTTAAAAGTCTGAAGTCAAAATCAGTCTATTGAAAAGGAGCCCTTCCAACTTGCAGTAAGTGAAGAGAGGTAAAGATTGGAATCCAGATGGGGCCTAATGTGGATTATACTTATTGAAATTCTGTCTGGTTAAAATTCTATGAAATGAGTATTAATATATACTGCATTCATTGCACACTAATTTGATTGAGGTTATTAAATAGTGATATAGTCTGGCTAATTTGAATATTTTTGTTTTGTTTTTATGTTTTGAGACACGTCTTGCCATGTATCCAGGGAATGTCTTCAACTCAGTGATGTAATTCAGGCCAGACTCAAATTCATGATCTTCTTGCCATAGTTGCTGAAATGCTCTGATTACAGCCCTATGCCACCACATCTGACAGAAAATAAATACTTTTAAAAATAAAAATGAAAGTTTTATTTTAATCTTAAATTTTCTCAATTTTTTTGCTAAATATGATATTTTAATATATAGGTCCTTTTACATTCTTCAGTCTGCTTATATAGATAATAGATATTAGAGAAATATTTTGGGAATTGGGGTGTGTAGGAATGGAGTAGATATTGTAATTGTCAGATTAAGTCATTAATATTAACTACTCTTCTGATGGCTTTATACCCTATCCTAAAAGGAAACTATAAAAACAGAGTTTCTGAGTTTCTCCTAAGGTGGGCTATTGAGTATGTTTGATTATAATAAACTATAAGCATAAAAGGGCTATGTAATTAACAATGGTCTTGGATTATGATAATCACCTGAACAGTGGTATACAGCACAGTATTCTTATGGTGGTGGGCGAGCTGCACCATTTTCTTTCCTCTATTTACCTCAGATCAACTTTAAACAACCTTGAGGTTTCCTCTACAGGGGAGGACTTGGGGCAGGGTTTTCTCTAAGAGAAGCAACAACATGACCATTTGAAAAACAGTCTATGAAGAAAGAGGTTACTTGAATTATCCACATCATAATGTGCAAACCAAAGGCTATTTGAAAAGTAATGGAGAGTTATAAAACTGCTTCTGTTTTTTCATGTTTTCTAAACAGGCTCATGCACAATTAGTTCGGGAAGTTGATGTGGAGAAGGTGTCTGCTTTTGAAAATCCCTATGTAGATGCAACAAAGACTTTGTGGAATGATCCTGGAATCCAGGAATGCTATGATAGACGACGAGAATATCAATTATCTGACTCTACCAAATAGTGAGTATCCAGCCAGGAGGTCTTTTCCATCTTTCTCTTTACTTTGATGTTAAATGTGCTGTACAGGCCTGGCGTGGTGTCCCATGTCTGTAATCTCAGTACTCAGGAGGCTGAGGCAGAAAGATCACTGTAAGTGCAAGGCCAGCCGGGCTACAAAGTGAGTTCAAGGCCATCCTGAACTATGTAATGAAAACCTGTCTCAAAAAGACCCCCCAACCCCCTAAAAAGGGCTGCACAATTATGACTTATACAGTCTGTGCTATGTATAAACCAATCAAACTTCAGTGTTAATATGTATAGGTATTATACTCCTGATAAGCTCATAAACCTAACCTAAATTATAAGAAATTGAAATCATGAGTCAGGGAAAATATTTCTTTTACTGTTTTTTGTATTTTTTTTTTTTTTCTGTTTGAAAAACAAGCAGGAGAATTTTAAGAGTCTTTTCCCACCCTTTCTCCTCCCCCAAATTGCCAACCAGTGATTCCCAAATACATACACCATTGTTATCTGAAATCTTGTAATAATAATTTTTATACAAATTTTGATAAGATCTTATTCATGTGCTAGAAAACACCTACACGCATTAGAAATTGCAAACAAAAATACATTTGATTATGGCTTCCTGAAATATAAAACTTCCTAGTTGCCAGTTTTTAGACCCAGAACCTTGACTGCTTTTTCAGAACCACAATTAGGTTGATGGATGGATTTTCTTTTGTATGAAAATTGTGAGTCTAATTTTGCAGTCATACTAGAATTATTTTGTAAGCTGTCAGATTCATACATCCTGAGAAGATCTGTGTCCTAAAGAGAGCTGTTGATTCTTTAGATTAAGTCATGCTTAACAGAAAGAAAGTAAATTTTAACAGTCATTAATGTAATCAGTGTAGTCAGCAATCCAGATAATCAGGCACCTAAAAAATGGTGGGTTTTTATCTGTCTGTCTGTCTGTCTATCTATATCTATCTCTATTAGTCATCTATCTTATCTATCTATCTATCTATCTATCTATCTATCTATCTCTGTCTATCTCTGTCTATCTGTGGTGGATAGGGCTAGAATTTAGCTAGATTTCTGTCTCAGTTATGTTAACTAGCACTTGCCTCTTGTTTTGGTTCTGGGCAGACAGAGAATGAGTGGAAAATACTTAGCAGCTGAAAGACAGTTCATATGATCAAGTGACCCAGTAGATGATAGCTGAGCCTTGGGAAAAGTGAATCCCAGTGGGCTGATTGGTATCACTGTTTGTATTGATGACCCAAGAACTGTGTGTTGCTTTTCTAGTAGTTATGATGTGGCCTTTCCAAGCATTTGTATCAGATCAGTTTTATTTTAGGTGAGCCATAGAAATATTGCTCTTCTTGTTTTCCTGTGATAAGTTTGAATCACACAGTTCTGACATGAGACATAAAATGTGCTTGTGGGTCTGTGTATTTGTGTTTCTGAAATATGTGCTATACTCTATCTCTTCTTTCTCCTTCCATATTTTTCATTGCACTTCTTGTTCCCAATCTCTTCTGCTGTCTCCACCTCTGCCTTCATCTTTTCCACCCATTCTCCCTCTCTTTCTCCTTCCCTTCTTTATCTCTACCTCCTGCACTCTTACAATGTAAGTTTCTGTTGAGTACAGAGATGGAAAAGATGCATTCAGTTCTTTTCTGCTGTCTCTACCTATGACCAGCTGTCTGTGTTTGTTTTAACTACCTTCCACCTCTTTCCTTCTGCTTTATTTGCCATTTCAAATTTCTTCCCTCTTTGATGTTGCTGCTGTGTTTTGCCTATCCTCCTCTGCTCCTGCTCAGTGTGCTCTCAGTTGTTTACTCCTCTACCTCACTTTTAATTCTCTTTACTTTTCTTCAACTCTTTCGTCACTTCTCACTTTGACACTGTGATACCTTTACTGAATAATACTTCATTATAAAATTATATTTTTCAATTATTTTGCCTCATTATTTTCCTCCTACCATCTGTCTTTAGTTATTTTAAATCCTGTTTCTTCCCTCCCAATCTCTTCCATTCTTGAGTATTAGCTATAGTTATTATCTTTGTGGAGGGGTTTTCTAGAGAGGAATTAGAGCTCCAAAATCTAATACTTATGTGCTTACCAAGGTTAGGTTCCTTCCTGAGGAATCTAGTTTATCTGTCCCAAGGATGGATCCTCCAATTTGCACTGTCTGCTGTGTTCTTGAGATAAACCTCCATCACCTCCAGTGACATTCCTCTAGGATTGATTTATGGATTTAAAGACATGAATGAATTAGATGTTGCTTTATGGCAAAAGGTTAGCCTGGACCTTTAGAAAGCCACCGTCTTAGAATTCTGCCAGTACAGACTGAGTCCACCCTAGAAATAGGCCTGCTTGTTGATTGTTCCTTATGAGAGAGCCAGACCATGAGGTGGGCCATATGGCTAAGACTGATCTAAAATTCTCAAGTAATTATTTTTTAAATAGTTCAGCTGTTCCCTAGTGGGATAGGGAGAAGTTGATTTCCTGAATTTCGTATATGTAGGTACATATACCTACTGTATGTATATACAACTAATTCTTGAACCATATTTTTATTGTTGAAGTAATGTTAGAACTTGTCCTTATGCTTTTAGACATTTCAGTATATATTTCTTTATAAAATATTGTACCTAAAATTAATAATCAGTTCTTCTTATTCTGTACCAGTTAATACTCAGATTTCCCGAAGTCTTTCAAAATGTCTTTTAACAGTGGTTGATTTTTAGGACTATACATTAAATCTGGTTGTTATAGCTCTTAAGGCTCTTTGACTAGAGAATTGTTTTGCATTTTAGTGGCTGAAAAGATTGGCCTAGATTTGTCTGGTGACTTAATAGTACAATTTAGCTACTCCTCTGTCCCACAGATTTACTATAAACTGGATATTTCATTAAATGCTTGATTATGTTCAGGGTAAACATAGCGACTGGGAAGCATTAATATGTCATATGCTGGCTTACACATCACTGGTAGATTTACCATACTATGAGGGTAGTGGCCTCTCTGTTGATTGTAAAGCTGTATTTTTCTCTCTTAAGACATTATTTTGTCACTCAGCAGTCTTAAGTTCCCAATGAACTCTTTACCTGATGCTTTTAATTCTAGTTGGTAATCCTGGCCTGATTGACTAGGTGTTTGTGTAAGAATGATTTTCGACCTGCTTCACTTGATTTGTATGGTCACTGTTCTGTGATATAGAGGGTACTATATGTTTCATAATGGAAAGATGTATGTTTAAGTGTTTCGTTTAAGGTCAGTAATTTGTTGTGTGGACTAAATAAATAAGATGGTAATGTTGGTAATTTATTATCCAAACCAGTATACTTAGAGAAAAAAGTAATTGCTATTGGAGTCAAGTGGCAAGCCTAAACTGGGAATTTACAGAGCAAGCCAGTTCATCTGGGTCACCTTAACTAAATGATGTCTGGAAATACCATTTTATCTAATCATAAAAGACCCCACAGTGGTACAATTTCTCATCACCCACTTCTGATAGGAAGAATTTATGGCTTGGGAAGATTGAGTAACTTGTTTGTGGCCACACAAGTAACAAGTGATAAGAGTAGGTATCTAATTCAAACTTACTTATTCCAGAGACTAAGCTTTTATCACTGTGAAGTAAAACGTCACACAGGGATGGATAGAAAATAGATGCATAGATAGTTAATTAGTAGTTGTTACATAGATAAAAGGATAGATAATAGACTAATAGATAAATATCTATGGACAACTGTTTATAAAAAATCCCCATGAAAGTATTATGAAAAGTTATTAATTGATGTTGTTTATAGGTAGTTTCATATTTTTAAGGTTGAGAGGAACAACTACATCATATTTACTGGAAAACCCAGAAAGTTTTGATTTTCATCATCAAAACTTAAACATGTTTAGCTAAGTGTCCATTACTCAAATTAACATAGATGTTCCACACATAATTTAGAAGTGTTATTTCTAGGGCCGGCCAAATAGCTCAGTGGATTAAAGTGCTTGCTTAGGCAGACGCAGGGGCTGGGAATTCAATTTCCGGGCCTGCCATGCTGGCCCCACCCCCGGGGTGTGCTGAGATGGCAATTGAGCCTGGGCGTGGTGGCACACACCTGTTATCCCAGCACTTGGGATGCTGTAAACAGGAGGAGTGCTACAAGTCAGATCTACACAGTGAGACCCTGTACACCCTGTATACCCTGTCCTAAAATACAAAAAAAAAAAAAAAAAAAAAAAAAAAAAAATGTTATTTCTAAATCTTAACTTCCAGTTTTTAGGTCCCCCTTATTGCCTTTTTTATTGGAGCCAGTATTAAGAGCACAGTAAAATGATTTGAATTTCCCTACTTTTGCTTTGATTAGGCAACTTGCTAGCAAAATATGCAATCAAATGGCTCAAAGGACAAGCAATAGTAGCAGAAACAAAGAGATAAAAAAAAAATTGCAGAAAATGGATAAACAGTTTCAGATAAATTTGTAATTAGCTTTAATTTAGTACATGCTTCCAAATCTATATAATGAAGAGGAAAGAACATTCTAAGATCCTGGAGCATTTGTAGGTTTCTTTATTATTTTTTATTATTGATAAAAAGCCTGAGGGCTCTTTATATCTTTAGATAAAGAACACAATAAGCAGATGGTTATGTGTTTTTCTTTTTTTCTGGGCTCACCACCCATTTTAGTATGCTGAGACATCAGGTCAAATGAGTTCTTTGACTATAGTACTAAATGTTCCCTAATTTCACCCAGAGAACAAAAAAATCACAGTCACACTATCATACATTATAACACAAGTCTTCACCCTGTAGGTTTTGGCTGAAGATGGATTTAAGAGATCACATAATCTCTAATCTTACTTTACTAAGTTTCCCTTCAGAGAAGTCGGACACTTTGAAAGTTCCATGTGGTCCAGAGACTGTAAGTTCAAAATATAGAAGAAATTGGCCTTTTGGCACAGGTGAACATTAGCATTTATCTATAGCCTCAGGTTTACATTTTTGAATCTG